GTGCATAGGTGGACTGCCAGGCTTGGAGTTTGGATCACCCCTATGTATGATATAGCTTTTTTACTTTGACTACGAAAGGTTAATATTCTGACATTGTCAACGACGTTAATGTGGTGGCAAGGGGGTAGAAGTCAATAGTGTATTTGAGAAAGGAAAATAGATGTACCTTCTTGTTAACAGCAAATAACTTGTCAGTAGGGAATATAGCGCTTTCGAAAAATAAGCGACTTTTCTCAAAAAACTCACTACAAATTACATGACTTGATTAAAAGTGGTATGCCTCTTTTGCTCATGACGTAAAGCAAAAAAAGGGAGCTAAAACATTAGCCTAACAGGCCTGCGAAGCAGGACATCGACAGCTTTTGAAAAAATATGAACTTATGTAAAGTAAGCACATTGTTTTTAAACATTTCGTATATCTCTTAAAATCATTTTTTATTCGTATGGGGACGCCCATCCCCCAAAACTCGCCCACAACGACAGGAACATTGGTCAACTTTTCCATTGCTCTTATGAATTTTCTGTAACGCACCTTGGCCATAGCCGCGTTAGCATGGAAATGTAAGCTTTCTACTTCCTTTAGATTTAGAAGATATAGAAGATTTAGATCTTTCTAAAAGGCAAGTTCATTCGTACGAGCTTGAATAAAAGTGATGTGTGCACAAAATTATAAATATTGAAAGTATACGATTTAAAAATAATGCTCTCACGTTCTGTTCATTCAAATTCCTATTTGAATTCATTTATTTTGTCGTTCTTTAAATTGCATTCAAGTGAGATACATGCTAAGTGGCAAGAAAGAATATACGGGCAAGCAAATTTGGTCATTGGCACATGCGAGTAGTACGTACAAATCATCAATCCTGAACACATAGTAATAGTTAGATACAAATATGTAACATTAGTCAATTTTGAACAATGGCGGCATCTTCCTATCACATTTCCATTCAGAACATTTTGAGGTTTCTTGGTCTGGTTCGGCACCACATTGGTTCTCTCTAC